GGCTTTAGGAGCCTTGTAGCAGGAGACGAAGGGAAGGCGGTACCAGTCCGTCCAACAAATGCTGCCCAAAGAAGGGGAGGGAGGGGGGAAAAAAGGTGAAAACCTTGTTCAGACTGTGACTGACTATGATTCAGGCATCTGTCGATTAGCAGAAGTGCTGAAGCCGTTGCCCACGGCCAGGAGTTCATCACCTTTGAAAACACCGGCTCCTGTGGCTTTCCCGTACAGAGAGAGAGGTGCAGCATAGCGCTGAAAAGTGGGAAAAGCTTTTTACGCTTCAGCCTCGCAGGTGTGTCGTAGAGCACACCTCTTCCTTGCGCGAGGGGGCACAAGATGCTGCCATCTGCCTGCAGCGAGCCCTTTCTTACTGTTTTTGAAATGAAAATCAGGTCATGTTACAGGTAAGGGAAGAACAAAGATCAGTGACTTTTATCTATTATTATTTGCTTTAAATTTTAATTTTTGTTCACAACTCTGTTGCTAGCTGATTGCCGTCTTCCTCAGTCCCAGTTTATATGGATAACCCAAAGCTTATCACCTATTCATCAATCAGGCTATGGGTATTGAAAGGACTCTAGCCAGATAGAAAAAAATTCACCTGGTCTAGACCCACTCTTGGGTGTTCAGAATATTTTAACTTCTTGCTCGCAGATGCTTTATGACAGGTAAGGCATCATCTCACCACATCAGGGGTTTGTGGGATATTCCACAGATATTTTGACAGCCCCTTTACTTGTCCTTGCCCACAGTGCAAGTCCTTCAGGACTGCTGATTTCCTTCTGGCAGGAGCTTTCCCTTTGGCTTTGGAGGGTTATTGCTTTGGGTTCCTCTACAGGTTTTCTGCAAAGGCCTGGCTTTGATTTGGATTGTGCTTGTGACCTCTCTCTCAGGCTCTGTACCTCAGGTTGGGGGCATATTTTTGGCAGCCAAACTCTGCTGGACCTTTTCCGGGCATGGCCATCAGCACAGCAGCATGGTGAGGTTGCAGAGTTGGTAAAGGCTTTCCCCAGCAAACAAGCTCATTGTTTGTTTCTCATTTTTGAGGCTGCTTTGCCATCTCCAAGGGTGCAGTCTATCACCAGAGCCAAGGAAAATCCCTAAGGAAAGCAGCTGAGGGCCTGCTAGCCACAGTGGGTATATGGAGGAGCGGAGCAGGTTGCTGGCGCTCTGAGTAAGAAGACATTTGCAGGCTTGCTTTTTTTCCTTTTTTTTTCTTTTTTCCCTTCTTTGATGCCGCAAATCAAAGCTGCAGGCTTTACTAACAGAGGAAGTTCACATTTCTAATGAAGCTACATGATGAGCCTTGCAGAGGGATCGTTTCCACAGCACTCTGTTCCTGTAACCAAAAGGCAATGCTTGAAAAAAAAATAACCTGAATGAAGAAGACACATACGTATGAAGCAATTCATGGCAGGCACTTCTGATTCGATTAGAATTTGATAGAAGCGCATTTGCTGACGTGATGTTTCACTCCCCCCCCTTCACTATTTTAAATTGCTTGTCCTGGGGAGAAACATTCTGGGGAATCGTAGCATGTTCTGCCTGGCTTTAAAGAAGTGATTTCGTTATCATGGGCTAGCAGAGATTAGGGTTTTCTGCGTGTGTCCTTCCTCTCCCGCTGTGAGCTCTCCTTGCCTTTCCTTGGAGGCTCCAAGCTTGGGCTTCACCAGCTTGGGGGAGAGGCAGATTTCTGTTTTTGTGGACTGGGAGCTTCTGCTGCTCTTCTTTGAACCCCTTTTCAATAACTTTTTTTGTAATGTCCTTGAACTATTATTCCTTAAAGTCTTCGGGGCAAGCATATTACCTTTCTGTATATATTTACAAAGAGTCATCAACATTTACAGGAGATTTGAAAAAGTTTACCTGTCCCAGGCATAGTATTTTCTTACAGAAAACTAGACTTATAGGTTGGGTTTTCTTCTTTATTGTCCTTGCAAGAGTAAGTAAGTAAGTGTTGTGCTTGCACATGTAAATTTTCATGACAGTTTTACAAGACTGCATTGATGGCAGTACCTGAGCAGTAAATAATCATTCTCTCAACAGAAAAAGACAGCTATTGCCATATATTGTAATGTACTCATGCTGATTTGCTTCTGGATATTCACTGTGCCTAAGCAAGAGCACAAGCAGGTGCAATATACTTTTTTTTTCATCTTCTCTCACGCACTGGAAAAGAATGAATTCTTTTGATGATAGTTTTAACTTTGCTTATTTGCATATTTTTACTTGCCATTTCCGTTTCTTGTCCTTTGGAGCACGTGAAAGATAAATCTCTGCTTTATTTTTTAACTATTGACACATTACACTGTTACACAGTATCCATCACCCTGGATTGCGATGCTTATGCTAATGTTAAGAAAAAGAAGGAAAAGAAAAAAAAGGAGGGGAGGGGCACAGATTCCTGCTTCAACTTTATGTCACGCACCTGTCAGCCTGCCCCAGCTGCTACTGTGCAGGCTGCAGCCCCTGCTGTGGGTCCGACTGCAGCCCACGGAGCGCGGCAGGGAGCGACAGGGAGCCAGAAAGCTGCCAGCAGTTGCAGCAAACATCGTGGGTGATCGTCTCAACTTGGGGGAGGAAACAGTCTTCTACGTGAAAGAGGTTCAGCCTCTGCATTGCACTTGCACAGGCGAAAGTGCTGAGTGGTACAGGAAGGGCAGGGTTGCATCTCGGTCTGAAATGGCCTCCAGCCTTCCCAGACTCGCCACTGGAGGTTGCCCTTTTTCCCTCCCCTGCATTTGCTCTGTCCCCAGGCAAGTGGGATGAGCAAAGTGTCCCGCTCTGTCTTTTGCAGGGCTGGTTCTGCTTGGCCTCTGCAGCAGCTTGGTGGTAGGGGAACTGCTCTCTGTGTGTGCTAGAGGAGAGCAGTTCCCCTGACAGGGTTTCATGTTTTAAGGAGCACAGCTCACAGGGGCCCCTTCAGCCCTACAAGGAAAGACTTGGGCGTTGCGATCCTGGCAGGGCTCCTCCAGGGGCACAGAAAAGGGTAGGTTTGGGGTGTGTCTGG